GCCCCTGGGGGCAGGAGCCCCATCTCTTGTTCTTCTCTCCAGTGCCCTGAGCCCACTTGGAGGCAGGAACCTCCAGAGAGGGGCAGTCCTGGGAAGAGGCCCCTTGACCTGGGCTCCTTGAGGGGTGGGCTGTTCAGGTGGGTGGTGGGTGGCAGGAGACTTCAAGGCCCTTGTGTCCTGGGCTCCCTCCTTGGTGCCCATGTGGGGGGGGGATGGTAGACACCGGGTGCCCCCTCTGGGCCTTCTGAGTCGGTTGTTTGGAGCCCCGTGATTCACACCTGGAGGGCGCTGCCCAGGGAGCACATGCTTGGTGGCTCCACTGGTGGTCAACTCGTGTCCATCTGCTCTTACCATGCGAGGTTCACCTCCGGAGGGCCTCCCTCCTGGTCCATGTGGACCTCCCAGTGTCCAGCCTCCACCATCCTTGGACCCGGCAGCCAGACTGCACTTTGTGGCCTTGGGCTAAGAGGGCAGGCTCCCCTTGAGAAAGCCTGCTCGCTCCCTCCTCCCTCTTACTGTCACTTCTGGGCTTCATCACAGGGTGTGTGAGGCAGAGAGGCCAACTGGGGGTGGGCTCCGATTCAGGCCCTCTGCGACCCCTCTTGGCAGGAGAGGATTCCTCGTGCCTCTTTTTCCCCTCCACTGTTCTGGGCCCCTGTCATCTTCCAGGATGCTTTTCCCGGTGGCCTTGTGGGTGAGAAGGGCCGAGGGCCTTTCCGGTTTTCTCCTGGTCACCGGCTTAGTCGGGGCCCAGCCTGATGGGAGAGCGGCTGTCCTGAGCTCTCCCTTCTGCACCACCCACGTGTTTCTGGTCTTCTTTCCTCATGCCCACCTTTCAGCTGAAGGCCCCAAGGGAGAGAGGTTGAGGCCTTTGTTTGGGAGGCCCTTGTGTAGCTCTTCATGGAAACCCCTAAGCACACTCTGCCAGGGCGGATGCCTAAAGTTCCCATGGGGGACATTTCTCATTACCCTTACATTCACAGGAACCCAGTGTAGGGTCAGTGTAGACTTGTGTCCCCAGGAGGATCTTTTAAGTTAATGTTTGTAGGTGGTCTCCAGGTGGGTCAGTGAGGCCATGCTGCTGCTTGGGGGGTTTGGGCTTGGCTCAGCTGGAGCTCAGACAGCAGACCTGTGTCGCTGCCCAAGAGCTGGCCTGGCAGAGCTTTGGTGCAAGATTGTGTGCAGCCTGTTTGGCCTCAAAGGCATGGCTCTTGACTGCCAGCAGGCGTGTTGGGCCCACCTGCTAAGCTAAGAGCTGGTGGCTCAGGAAAGCCTTTCCCTTGGGCAGTTGGTTATGGTTATTGTTATTATTTGAAAGACTCATGCATTAAACCAACGTTACATGCTTGCCTGTAGATGGTCATTGAGAGGGCTTGGGGGCCAGCACTTTTCTGTTTCCGCTTTCCTCATCCATGGCCTTGGTTCAGTCCGAGGACTGGCTCAGCCAGGGCATGAATGAATGGGGACGGGAATGCCATCCCGCTGAACCCTTCTAGCTGTTGCGTGGTTGGGGGGCCAGCAGGGCTGGCAGAGAGAAGGGCCTGGGGCCTCTGTCCTCCTCTCCTCCTCTCCTCCTCCACCTCCCAGGCCCTGGCAGTGCTGGCAGCCCATTCCATCGCTTTTCATTGCCAGCTCCAGTAGGCCTCCGTCAGCCTCCACCCCACCCGGAGGCTCAGCCTCTTCTCGTTCCCTCCCCATAGCTTTGTCCTGGATGCTCCTCCATCTCTGCCCTCGCTTCCTTTGGGAAGGGGACAAGTATCCCTACATGAGTGAGCTCGGGGCTCTCCTCGCCAGCTGTCTGCCTCTCCGGGACATCCCTGTTCCTGTGAGGGCCGCTCTGCCCATAGCACCATCCCTGCCTCTTCCCTCTGACAGTCACCAAGTTCAGGCGATAGCAGCCTTCCCGCTGGCTCGGTCATTGCTGTCAGTGGGACTGTGGCGTCGCGCCATCCTCTTCGGTGGCTCGCGGGGGCCTCCTCACCTCTGCTTCCCTTGGGGAAGTCTTCCCTGACCCCTCATGTTGTTCTTGTGTTCTCCGTCCCCCTGTGGCCTTCAGTTTACTCACCTTCCCTGTCAGATGCCTTGAAGGTGGAGGCTGTTTGGCTTTTGTCTTTGTACCTGGTAGAAGCTTGATAAATCATTCTGTCCAGACCCTGAAAGGAGAGGCTGTGACCCTCGCGCTCTGCGAAACGACGCATCCCAATGCCACCTCTCTAGTCACGCCAGCTAGGTGACTGGCTGATGGAGGCCAGGCCTTCTTGGAGTACTCTGCCAGGTCCTGCTTCCCCAGCTGGGGGGGAGGGGGCAGTGTGACCTCGTGGGAGGGAGGCTGGCATCAGGACTGGCCTGAGCTGCTTCTCTTAAAGAATCGGAGGCTGAGGAAAAGTGGGATGCTGACAGGCTCTGGGGTTACCTAGGAGACTGGTGGCCCTGGCGAGGGGCCCCGGGCCCCACACAGCTTAGGAAGACACTCAAGGCCAGAACCCAGAGAGCTGCTTTCTCGGGGGTTTGGTCCCCTCAGGCAAAAAGGCCAGCACCTTCACCCCTTTGACTGCAGCCCTGTTGCCTTGGACCCCTTGAGACTTATTGGTCTCCTCTGCTGTACCCTGAGCTCTTCCTGGACAGCGGGGAAGTGTTGGCAGGCTACTGGTCAGCAGGCTTGATTTCTGCCCAACTGAGGAAGTGAGGGCTGGAGGGTAGGAAGACTGGGGTTTGATTCCTGCCCCCAGAGCTTAGCCCTGGGGCCACTTGGAACGAGTCATTCTTTTTGCCAGAGGGTTGGCCAGATGGGCTTCGGTCTGTAGGCCCCTTCGACCTTTGCAGTAGGACAGAGGGAAGGCAAGGTTTCCTCTTTGGGTTTTGTTTTTGGTCATGTGGTCCTTTCTGGATTCTCCTCACCCAGCTGGGCTTCTGGGGGCTGGTGATGGCTCATTGTTTCAGACCTTGGCTCACAAGCTTCATGCCAGTGCCCCCTTGCCGGCTCAGGGGCGTGGCACCTTAAGGTTGTCTTACTTGGCATTTTCCTGACTCTTGGGGAGCTTGAGTATCTTTTCCTGGGGCTATAAAATCATCTTCCCTTCTTGGTGTGCTTCCGGTCCTCAGAGAGTCGAGGGCTGCAAAGATGTTTCCAATCAGTTTCTTGTAGTTTAATTTCAGAGAGATTAATTTTGTCTCTGTTTCTACCATTTAATTGGACGTGCTAGCCCCTCTCTGGGGAGCTGAGTCACACCTGCAGGGTCAGATGTTTCCCAAGTCAGGGTGTTTGGGGGTGTGATGTGGGAGTCTTGGGGCCTTTTCTGAGCAGTTTTTGTGAAATAAAGCATGGCTTTATCCATGGTGGGACCTTGGGCTTACTCTTCTGGTCCAGACATCTTCTTTTTGCCTCCTTGTTGGAATTGTTGCTGGTGAGTGCCAGGGTCCCCTCCCTTGCAGTGGGAAGATGGCGAGCCTGGAGCGAGGATGGGGTGTGGGAGGGATCTTGGTGCTGCCTTCTCCTCCTTCCCTTTGAGGAAAAAGGACCTAAAGGTGACCCAGTGGAAACACGTTACTCTCTGTGCACCTTTGGAAAGCTGGAGGGCATCAGGAGAGAGAGCGGCCTCTCAGCCCTCAGGCCAGGGGTCTTTCACCTTTTCTCTTGGGTTCGCCCTTTGTCTTGATTTGTTGGGTGCAATCCAGACTGGAAGAGTTTCACTGGGGCTCTCCAATTGGCCCAGCTTTTGCAGGGTGAGTGTGCACATGTGCACGTGTACCTGTCTGCCTTGTGTGCCATGGGCAGGCCTCAAGTCAAGGCCCGAAAGAGGCAGGAGGAGTCCAAGGAGGAAGCAGAGGGTGGGAGAAATAGAAAAGAGGAGGCCGACCTCAGGACAACTTTCCTGGGCTTCCCTTCTCACTCCCCAGGTTCCCAAGGCTCTGTGTGGCCCTTGGGGCGTCCCTCTGACTAGGAGCTTGTCTTCGAGGCTGTCAAGCCCTTTGTCACCATAACCTCAGGAGGTATAGGTGCCCCTTGTACAGATGAGGCTGTAATTGAGGTTGGCAGGACTGAAAAGACTTGCCCAGGATCGCACAGTAGTGAGGGCAGAGGTGTGACTTGAACCCAAGTCTTCTTTCCTTCCTTCAAATCCAGAGGCCACTCCGCTCTGCCGTCTGCCTTTACAGAAGCGTGGGGCCCTCCTTTCCTGATGGGCCCCCGGTGAGGGGAGGTGGAACTGGCCAGCTGCATGTTACCTCAGACACATGCTAATGAGAGGACTTCAGGGGTCTCTGGCCTCTATGAAGGGAAAGCCCACCCCCCATAGGGCAGGCAGCCTCATGCTTTCAGCAGCACGAGGTTTTCCCTCCCTTGCAGTTTCTCCTATTACTTCAGGTTCTTGGGGCAGAAACATGTTACAGGAGCTAGGCACCCAGGGGGTAAAGTGCTCAGCCTGGTGTCAGGAAGACCTGAGTTCTAATCTAGCTTCTGACCCTTAATAGCCATAGAACCCCGAGCAAATCATTGAACCTCTGTCTGCCTCAGTTTCTCCCTCTGTAAAGGGAATCATAACACAACCTACCTCTCAGGGTTGGGAGGGTCCAGGGGGGCTTCCAAAAATGCTGAAGCCTCGGATCCGGGGCGGGGGGGCCATAGGTCCATACAGACTGATTGTAAAAGGAGTCTGAGGGCGCTTGGGACGGAGGGTCCCACCAGACAGGGTTTTCTGCATGAGATGGGGCCTGAGCTGCCTCTTCCAGGAGCATCCCAGGCCTGGGGGAGAGCCGTGCAAAGTCATGGAGGTGGGAGATGGCTGGCAAGGTTGGGTGGGACTCTAAAAGCTAGGGGGTCCAACTTCCTTGAGTCGGGGAGAGGGAGGCTTTGGGACAGCCCTTGTGCCCAGGAGGTCCCTGCTTTGTGGATGGAGGAGTTCTCGCCAGCCATCTCGGGCACTAGGGATGAGTTCTTGGAGACATTCTGTTTCCTCTTTCTCTTTATAGGAAGGAGTGAAAACCGAGAATGATCACATCAACCTGAAGGTAGCCGGGCAGGATGGGTCAGTGGTCCAGTTCAAAATTAAGCGGCACACACCTCTGAACAAATTAATGAAGGCATATTGTGAGAGACAGGTATGGGGATGGAGAGCTCTACACTGCCATCTGCCTGGCGAGGGGATGCTTCTGCAACCCCTAGCCACTGACTGGTTTTCCTAAGAATGGGAGGAGGGGACTAGCCCACCCACGTGGCCAAGGATCCTATTCGAGGCAGGCTCAGAGCCCACCCAGGACTTCAGGCACACCACTGACCTTTAGGAACTCTCTTCACCAGCAAAGTGTGATGTGTGTGGTCACTTGTGTGGCATTGGCTATACAAAGCCACAAAAAATTAGGGCAGGGGAAGGAGGAAGCGGGGTGGTACTTCTCCTGTGAGAATCTGGTTTACATTAGAATGGCAGCTTGTCCTCCCGCTCAGCTCAGCCTCCTTTTTTTGCCAGAACCAGAAATGAAACTCCCGGGAAGTCCTGATTTGCCCCTTTCTCCAGAGGCATTCAAGGAAGAATTTTGCCACATTGACTACTTCCAAGAAATTTCCATTTGGGTTAGGTCCCGATCCCTGGTTTGCCTGTTGGTGTGTGATCGATCCCCAGGAAGCTGAGAAGAGTGTAGGGAAAAGCAGTTTTCACCAGTTTGCAGTCAGCAGCGGTGGGATCCATCTAGCAGGGAGCCTCTCCTGAGGGATGGAGCCAGGGCCCTTCATTGGCATGCACCTAGGGATGATGGAGGAGTGGCGGCTTAGCTGGCTGGGGCCACCAGAGGTCAGGCTCCCAGGCTCCTCCGGGGTAGGTGTGCCAATGGATGATTTCCCCTGCTGCAGCCCAGGCAGCCCTGTGTGGACCAAGGGTGGGCCCCTGCCTCCCCCCTCCGTTTTGGGGAGGTGCAGGCTTTGTTGCCGCAGTTTGCTTGGTCTGATGCCTTTGGGGGAGAGCATCCCTGGCCTCTGGCCACTATTCTTTCTGTCTGGATCCTCAGGTAGGTTGTCGGATGCCACACTCTGTATTAATAGAGATGTGGGAGAAGGGGCCATGCTGGTGGGGGCCGTGGTTCTAAATGCCATCGGAGAGGTGGGTTAGAATGGGACAATGTGGCGGAGACCGCCTCTGGCGGAAGGCTGGGCTTCTGGCCGCTCACTTGGGGGAGCTGGGATTTGCTTCCCGCCATGGTTGACCTAGAGTCCAGTCTTCCACCTCGTCCATCCACGCAAGGTCACAGAGCCACGAGAGGCCAGCTGGGGATCACCCAGAGGCGATGGCCACTTGGTCTGGGCGCTTTGGAAGGCCTTGACTTTCTGATAGTCCAGGCTGGGGGCATCTTGATGGGATGGTCCAGGGAAGGGAGCAAGCAGGGGAGGCCTTTCCATTCTGGAAGGCTCCATGCCACCCATGGATGTGGCTTCCCCTCCCTTCCCCCACGCTTGGACGGGGTGCCCACCATCTCCCTTCCTCCCCACAATGTGTAAAGAGATCAGGATGCACGTGGAGGAGGAGTTTCAGAGACTGCCACCTCTTGCCTTTTTACCCAGGGTGGTCAGTCCTGGGGTCCTGGGGTCCACGCTTCTCTGACCCGTTTACCAAGCGCTTCCAAATTCTGAGCTGTGGCCAGGAGTGCTGGAAAAGGTGGCTTTTGCATGCCTGTGCTGACAGTGGTTTTTTAAATCTCAGGGCTTGTCGATGAGACAGATTCGCTTTAGATTTGATGGTCAACCAATTAATGAGACGGATACCCCTGCACAGGTATGACCCCGAGACGGACCTTCCCATTCGTTGTTGTTGGGTTGGGAAATGTGGAGCCCCCGTCTGGTGTCCCTGGGGTGCTGACGTGATCACCTCCCTCCCTTCAGGGAGGCCTGGATGTGCTCCCATCCCCGGGGCCGGCCCCAGGCCAGGTGGCACACAGGGTGAGCTGGCCTGCCGTCCCACCCGGGAGGAAGCGTCACCTCTGACTCTGGTCTGGCTGCGTCCCGATCTCCTGCTCCTTGCCCGGGTCGTGGCCCAAAGGGGACGCAGGGAGAGCGCCTGCCCTCCTGGGGTGGCCACCGAGGGAGCCTTCCACCACTAACGAGCCCGTGTCTCTTTTCTTCCCGGTCCCGAGCAGCTGGAGATGGAGGATGAAGACACGATCGATGTGTTCCAGCAGCAGACGGGGGGAGCGTGTTAGGCGCGTGGGCTGGAGCCCCCCGGGTCTTCCTCTGTCTTGGGATAGGGAATTGTGGGATGCTTCCGCCCTCGCAGAGGACGCGGATCCAAACTCTTCTCTCTCTGACTCACCGTACGTAGTCTGTGCGACTCCCGACGATCCTCGCGGAGACGACGCAACACCTCGAATTGGGCCAATGTGGAATGTTCTCTTTGCTGAAGTAAAAGATTCTTGCCTGTTTGTCCTCACTTTCCTTCCTTCTCTCCCCCCCTTTGCTTTGGGGGCCGAACTGCCGGCCCCCCGCGCTTGGGATGCTTTCTTGGCTACATCGTCTAATCATGTAAATACTCCGTCTGGTCACGGTGGTGGGGGGAGGGGGACGCCTGTGCGCTGTCATCAGCTGAATCAGGATCATTGGCGCTGATCAACCTGCCAGGCTCCTCGGAGGAGGCCGGAGCGGGGCGGGGAGGGGCCACCTCCAGGGTTACAAAAGCTCCGGCAGGTGAGGGTCAGGGGCAGGAGATGGGCCCGGTGCCCCTGCCCGCGTCCTGCCGAGCGACCCCTTGGGGGCTGTCCCCCGCCCCGGCGGCCCCTTGCAACCTTTTCCCATCTCGAGGCTCCTCCGCTTGCGTGAACCTGCCTGCTGACGGTGGCTTTTCCTTTGGCGTTTCCGTGTCTGTGGGCTCGGGCCTGTCTCTTCTCTGATTTGTACGTCCTTTGTTGTCCTTTACTACTGTAAACAGTAAATATAGTTTGGTACTCTGGCTCTTGGCTTGTGTTCCGACCTCCCGCCGCCACCCCCCGCGTCCGGCCTCGGCCCTTGAGGCTCTCCCGTGGGCGCCCCGCTGAGCAGGGCTCAAGATGGCCGGCTCCCTGGCCGCGACCCTGGGGACAGTCCTGCCCAGCCCCCTCACTTCACAGATGAAGAAACTGAGACCTCCCTCCTCCTTATCTAAAGTGATGTAAACTAAATTGGGTCTCGGGATCCCTTTGTCTCCTCAGAGCCTTGGGGGTCTGGAAGTTGTTTGTTTAGACCAGTGACACAAACATCCTTCAGAGACCAAGAAGGCGGGGCCTGCCCTCCTGGAGCTTCCACTTGGAGGGAGGGTACACACCAGCCGGCACAACTAAGTCAGTGAAGGGAAGAGAAAAGGAGCACTGGCTACCTGGGGAATGAACCTGGAAGTGAGGGGGATGGCCTGGGCAGTCATGGAGGTGGGAGATGGAGGGGCCTGTGCAAGTCATGTGGCCTCCGGGCTTCAGGACAGTGGCGAGTTGGACTAGGACCCCGTGCACCGGTATCCTTCGAATTTTACTAGGGGCTCCCCTTAGAAAAAAGACGCCCTGCTGAAGGGCTCAGAGGCTTGACCTCCAGGTGCCTCCGGAGGAGGAGGGCGGCCACTCGGTCAGCTGGGTCTGGATGCTTCTGATCCCGTGAACAAAGCGTTTCTGAAATGACTAGGGCAGTTGTGGGCATGTGTCCTCTGCAGGGGACGGAGGAGAACCCCCTCCTGTGAGCTCCCTCTAAGACTGCAGCCCCGGGGATGGCTCCATGTGGCGTCACACTAGGTTTGGAGTGGTGGGGCTGAGGTGAGGAGTGTAGAAGCCCCGGCCGATGTGACAGCCTCCCTGCAGATATTGTCCATCTGACTAGTGGGTGTCTTTGAACGTGTAGCCACTGCCACCTCCTGATAGCTGGAGATCTCACCTGGTGCTGACCCATTCAAGCTCCCCAGCCCCTGTCTGTCTGATCAGACCCTGTTGGTCTAACCCATGCCTTTCTCCCCTAGGCAGTTTAGTCTGTGCCCATGGGGAGGACTTCTCCATTTTTCCCACTGAACTCCACCCTGCTGGTTCAGCCTAATGCGAAGGGCCGACCAGGCCCTTCGGGATCCCAACTTAGCCCCCCAGACTTTTAGCTCTGCGTCTGACGTCCCTGTTCCCGACCCAAGGCAGATTCCCCGGGGGCCCTCCACTGGAGACGTCGTGCCACGTGGCCGCTGAACCAATCACCGGCGCTCTCTGGTGCAGTTGCGGCCAAGGGCCTCTAGGGGGCGCCTCGAATTTGTGTCCCTGTTACACTGATGCAGCCGCCACGCCCTAGTTCTGCCGGGCCCCGCCCCTCCGCTCCTTCCTCTTCCCCCCCATGGCCCAGGCTGCCGCCTGCCGGATCGTTGCGCATGCGCAAGCCCGCCCTCTGGCTGCTGGCCGGTAGGAGGCGGGGGTGCGCGTGCGCACGTGAGCGTGACGCAATGACGCGAACCCGGAAGAGGTTGGGGCGGGGCTGCGTCAACTCGGAAGAGGTTCTGCGGCGGTGGGCCGGCGGGGCCGGCGCAGGACGAGGAGGAAGGGGCGGGTGCGGGGCCAGGATGGCGGGGACGGCGCTCAAGCGGCTCATGGCCGAGTACAAGCGTGAGTGCGGCCGGGCCGGGCGGGGAAGCTGAGGCCATGGCCGGCGGGGGGAGGGGGACCGGGGGCAGTGCGCCTGCGCGGGCGGTGCGGAACCCTCCCCCCTCGTGCGTTTGCGCAGGCAGCACGGCCTGGGCAAGGGCCCGGAGGCTGGACCTGGGTTGTCTGGTGGGAGGACCGGCCGGCGGGGCGGGGCGGGGCGTGGCGGGGCGGGCCCGTCTACACCTGTAACAAGCCGCGTCTATGGCAGCTTAGCCCACTTATCGGCACAGCTAGCCCTGGTGCCCATTTTACAGAGTAGGAAGCTGAGGCAGAGGCAGGCGGCGGTTGTTTGGGCAGTGACTTGCCTGGGGGGCCAGGTTGGGAAACCCCTGTGGCGCTCCACGGCTTCTGGGAGGGGGGCAGGGCTGGTGGCCAGTGGGGAAGATGGTGGAAGCCTCTTGCAGGGATGGCCATGGGTCCCTAGGCCCATCCCCCCAGTCCCAGGTCTGCCTGTGCTCACGGTTGGTGGATGGGACACTTGGTCTGGTAGAGCCAACCCTGGCTTCAGCCCCTGAGGGTGAAGCTCCTGGCACTCTCCCACAGAAGCATGACCATAGGAGTTGTCCAGCGTTCGGGAGGGACACTCAGGGCTGCTGCTCGAGGGCTGGGCCATACCGGCCTCCATTGGGCCCTCACACCCTGCCCTGCTCTCTTGGGTCCCCAGAAGAGCAGTGAGAGCATTGATTAAGCGCCTGCTGCATGCTTGCCTGGAGCCCAGACAGCCAGTCACAAGGCGTGGTTTGTCCTTCCTTCTCGAAGAGGCCCGTGGCGTCAGGGAGATGATGACACGACTTGCTGTTGACTTTGATGTGAGTGAGGCAGGGCTGTCAGGGTCACCAGCCTCACCCTCTCCTTTGGAGCCATCTGGGTGTGGCGGCCAGATGTTCATCACAGGAGGCTTCCACTCTAATGGGGGAGTCGGTGTCAAGTGAAATACGGAAGAAGAGGGTGTGGGAGGGCAGTGCCAGGGAGGGCCCGAGGAAGTCTTCCTGCCCATCTGGGTTTGGCTGAGCAGGGAAGTCTCACCACCATCCTGGCAGAGGGGGAAGCTCCTTTCACAGATGAGGAAACCGAGGCTCCTTTTTACAGTTGAGGAGATTGAGGTCTAGGCTTGTAACTTGTGACTTGTCCAAGGTCCCCTGGAGCAGAGTGAGCCAGGATTTGGTCCTGAGACTCTTGCTTCAGAACTCCCTTCCCTTTATGCAATGGTGCGCGTCGGAGAACCCCGAAAGCTTGGCTCAAGTCCCAAAGAATCATAGAATTGAAGCGTCAGAAAGAACTTGGGCAGCTCTGAGAGCGCCTCCTCACAGGAAGAGGGCTCGGTGGGGGGAGGCGTCCCTGGCTCCTGGCCGCCATTGGCCTGTGTGCCAAGTGGAGTGTGGACCTCCAGTGTAGGGTGCCAAGGGGAGCGCCAAAGCTGCCCTGCCTTTCTCTGCACTCCCGTGCGGTGTTGAGTGTGCTTGTGTGTGTGTCTGTGTCTGTGTCTGTCTGTCTGTCTGTCTGTCTGTCTGTCTCTGTCTGTCTTGGGGGCCAGTTCAGATTTTTAGAGAGACATAGGCCTGGAAAATGTGCCCTGAGCCAGAGGGGCAAGGGAGGGGAAGCTGTCATTGGACAGCATCCTGGAGCAGCTTGAAGATAAACAAACAAGACCCCTCCCCTTCAGCTGAGATGCTGGAGGCCTGGTGGGCCCCCCCCCCCCCCCCCCCCCGCCGCCGCCTTGCTACATCAGGCAGAACGAGCCCTTGGGATGTGCCACCCGCAGTAAATGCCCTCCGAATTGTGGAGCGCCAAGTCGTTCCAGCCCGGGAAGAGAGTGCGCGCTCCCGGCACCCCGACAAGTCACTGCCCTAGGGGAGGCATCGTTTGTGTAGGTAGAAGAGGAAGCCATTGTTCAGGCTTGGGATAGATTTGTGCCCATTGCTTGTTTTTGCTCGTCTATAACTGAAGGGACATCGGTTTCAGATTGGGAAGGGCCCTTGAGCCAGGCTGAACCCCCCAGGAAGCCCCCTCCTCGTATCCAGCCTCAGGGGACTCTTTGAAGCTTTTGAACCTGCCCCTGGGAGGAGGTGCTTCCTAAAGCCTCGAGGACAGCTATCACATCTCTTGTCAGAGATAAGCTTGTCCAGGCTGTTGGCCTGGAAGCTCCGGCTCTTTTCTCTTTGGCAGAGTCCAGAACCAAAGTGGCCACTTCAGCTGTAGTCTGGCCAAATGGAAGACGGACAGAAGGACAGTCACGTCTCTGTGGGGCCATGGCCCCTGATCGCTGCTCCTACCCACAAGATCCCCTTATCTGACCTAGGCCCATTGGGACCCCAGATTGTCTTCAGAACAATTCCTGCCCAGCCCAGATTTCTCTCCCATCTCATGCTTGGGAAAATATGTCTTGGTTTGTAATTGCTCCCGTGAGTGCAGGGGACGCCCCTGCCCACTGACGCAGATGGGCACTGCGAGGCTTTGGTGACCTGGCCTAGGCCACGTAGTCCGGCTGGGGCAGAGCCTGGGCTCTCCGACGCCAAGCCCTCTCCTCCAGCGACTCTCTTCATTCCTTTCTTTTTGTTAAATTAAAAATCGATCATTTTAATGTTCAAAACTTCATCTGGAATTGAATCATGGTAGAGGCTTGGGTCGTGTGACCCACGAAAACCTCCTTCGAGAGGCCAAAGCAAAGACCAGTTGGTGCTTGGACATCCCGTTAAAACCCTCCTCCCTCCCATGGAGAGCGTTCGGCCCTCCTCCTCCTTGGGATCTCTGCTCTGGAGCTGCAGTGGCGTCCCCACCTTCCTTCAGGCTCCTGAGAACAGGCCGAGCTTTTGTCGTGTCGTCCAGGGTGACCACAGGGCCAGGCATCTGCAGCTCTCTTTGGCCTCTTCCCATAAAATCCCAGGCGAGGACCCTCGGGTCGTCCGGGGGGTGGCCTCTGCTCGGGCTCCCACGCTCAGGACTGAGTGCCGGAGCCCCTATTTCCTGTCCCCCAGCGTTCATCGGGGAGGGAGGGAGTCTACACCCATTCGTTGTGGCCCCTCTTTTTCTTTCTGATCAAAGGCAGTTGTGTTTGTAGTAGCACGTCTTGTCCGATTGTGCTGGGAGCCCCAAGGAGGGTACTTCCTCCAGCTTGGGGAGGCCCAGGGACAGCTTGTACCTGATGGGGTCTCCCCTTCTTCTGGGCGACGGGTCCCTGGCCTTGAAGGAGGGGACGGGCCTGGACACTTGGAGGTGTACTCAGTGGCCCGTCTGCTACATCTGCTTCACTCAGGTGGGAGAGGTGCCCATCCCCCGCCCCAGAGAGCTCCACTGCCTACTGTGTGCTGTGCTCTGTACTGGGGAGATAAATGGCAGCAGGGAAGCAGCACCTGCCTCGGGGAGCTTCCGGTCTGTTGGTCACGAGTGTCTACAAGTCTGTACAGATGTGTATCTTTAGAGGCGGAAAGCCAAGGCACTCAAGAAGGGAGGGTGTGGTGAAAAAAGGGGCTGAGCTGGATCTGGGAGGAAGGCAGAGGTGGCTTAGGAGAGGGCCAGGCCCTGCCCTCTGGCCGAGAGCTCCCCTCCCCCTCCAGTCATGCGTTTCCTTGGAGAGGTCACTGATCCTTTGGCCTTTGTGGGCATTGAGATAAGCATTCTGAACCCCGATGGAGCCTGGGCAGAATGGGCAAGATCAGTGCTGAAGACCGGACTGGTGTTCTCTGGGCCCGGTGACTTTCTTGTTCATGGCAGATGGTGAAAATAAAATGTGTCCTTTGACCGACTATGGATGAACCCTCTAGAACTCTCTAGGAATCGGTGGGCCCGTTGAATGCCCACCGCCTGGGGCCACGCTTACTTGTGCTTCACGCCCCCCAATCATTTCCTCCTTGGAGTCAGACAATGTAGCAGATGGAGTCCTAGATACCAGTTGCTGTGTTTGAGATTTTCCTCAGCCCGGTGATCCGTGCCTGGCCACCAGGTGGTGCTGTTGGGTCAAGCGTGGCCCGGAAGCAGTGGCAGATTCCAAGGCTCTGCGGCCCCCAGAGCTGGGCTTGGCCGTGTTGGGGGCTCCTTCGCTGCCTCACCCCCTTCCAGGGACTGCGTCACCATCGGAATGTCCAAAGGGAGCTCCAGCCAGAGACCACAGAACTGTCCCCGCTTTAGCCAGTGTGGCCAGCCTCTAACCCCTAGATGTCCCAGCCTCGTGCCCAGCCTTTCCTTTCCGTCTGCTGTGGTCCAGCATGGGCGTGTAGAGATCGGACATGTTTCACTTGGGTCTGGGGACGAGATGCAGTGAGCTGCAGCCTGGTCCCGTTCTGCGTCTCCTCTGCTCCCTGTATTTGGGCAGCCTCGCTGTGCTGGGGCCCATAGCTGTCTGGGAGGTTTTCTGGCCTCCGTCAGCCCTGTCAGCTTACCTTCCTGGGCGAGGGCACACTACCCTAACAAGAGTAGGTCTCGATGTCCCGTGTCAGGGTGAGGCGAAGGAATTGGGGACGTTAAGCCTGGAGAAACGCGCACCTAACCCACCTTCGTGTCTGGAAAGCTGGCGTGCGGATGAAGGCTTAGGCTCGGCCTAAGCTGAGCGACACTTCCAGGCTGCAGGTTGGAGAAGGGCAAATGGAGGACTGTGAGGAAGAAGCCTTCCTGACAGAGCAGAAAGGGCTGCCTTGATAGGGTGTGCGTGCGTGCGTGTGTGTGTGTGTGTGCGCGTGCGCTTGTGTGGTGGGTGCATATGTGTGTAGGGCTGGTACATGTACTTGTATGTGTGTGCTTGCATGTGCATACATGGGTGCATGCATGCTTGTGTGGGGGTGGTGCATGTGCACATATGTGCTTGTGTGCATGTATGTGCATGCATGGATGTGTGTGCATGCTTGCATGGAGGTGGTGCATGTGCTTCTATGCTTGTGTGCACATGTGTGCATACATGTGGAGGTGGTGCGTGTGTTTATGTACGTGTGTGCTTGTGTGCATGGTTGTGCATATGTGTGGGGGTGGTGCGTGTACTTACATGCATATGTGTGCATACGTGTGTAGGGGCGGACTGTTGTAAGTGTTTGAGCTAAGGCTGGATGACCACCAGCCAGCTTGTTGGTTTTCTCTGGGTACAGTTTACCCTGGATGTCTCCTGACCGCGGGCAGCGGTTGTGCAGCTGGAGGATGGCCAGGCTGAGCCAGATTAAAATGTAATTGGGTTGGTTTGGCAAAAACGTAAGCATGCTATGTGCCACAGCTGCGGTTCATTTGTGGATTTTCAGAGTCCTTCTGGGGCCTGCAGGGTGGGGGTTCTTTGGGTCCAACCCGGCTGTTGGGGCGGATGCCGGCGCCCGCTGACAGGATAGTGCGGATGATTACTTTGGGGAAGCGGATGGCAGGCGGGCCGGCCCAATGCGGTGCTTCCTCTGTCTGACTCTCTTGGCCAAAAGCAGAGAGAGCCGCTGCGTCCCAGGCAGACGGAAGGAGCCGCGAGGCCCCAGCCACAGCCAGCTCTGATTCTGACCCAAAGAACAGTCTGTGGGACCTGGGCCAGTGGAGATGACTGTGGGGCCTGGGGCAGAGCAGGGCCTCCAGCCCAGGGGCGCCCCCCCCCGCAAAGGCTTCAGCCCAGCTCCCATGACTGTCATCCAAGCCCTGGGCCGTCCAGTGGTTCTACTTCAGAAGCGGCAGCTTGGTGTTGTATCAGAGAAGAGGCCTGGCCATCTGCTCTGCCACCGTTGAGGACCCTGGGACCCTTTCCCTTGGACTCTGAGCTGAAACTTTCCCTGCACATGGGCGGGGGAGCCGGCTCCCCCACGGGGCAGAATGGCCAGGCACACAGCAACGGCCTCAGGCATGCTTATTGACTTGGCTTTTAAAAGAGAAAGCTCAGTCTGTGGAATGTAGTAAGAACACGCCTCCTCACGCCATTTTTCTATTGGGGATGGCTCTTAGTGTTGTCAATTTTGATTAGTTCCATACGTACACACACCTATAGGGAGAGACACAGAGAGACTTTTGTCAGAAAAAATGCTGCCAAGATTTCTCTTCCCCAGTTGTCTGTTTCCTTTCTAACTTTAGCTTCATTGGTTTTGTTTGTGCAAAATGTTAACATTTATACAGTAAAGTTTCCTATTTGAGCTCACGACAGGTGGTAGACAGGGTCACAAATGATGACCCTGCGAGTCGTGTTCAGCTTCTCTTGGCCAGAGATCAGAAAAGGTGCTTCTTCCTCGTTCTTCTAATTTGCTTATGCCTTCCCACACCCACAGACACCCCTGACACAGACACACAAACACACACAGAATCAGAGACACATAGACACCCACAGATACAGACACACATGCACATGCACAGAAATACAGACAAGCACACACAGAGACACACAAACACAGACAGACATGGAGACACACATGGAGACACGGGCACAGACACACAGACAAGCACACAGAGACACCTATGCACACACAGAAACACAGACAAGCACATACAGACACACATGGAGACACAGGCACACAAACAATTGCAAGACAGGCACATACACACAGACATAAACACAGACAGACACAGAGACACAAGCACACACAAGACAGACAGGCACAGACACACACACAGACATGCACAGACAGACACACACAGATGGACACAGACAGACAGACACACAGACACAAACACATACAGACACACAGACAAACACGGACACACACACAAGACAGACACACACAGAGACATGAGATAATTTGCTTTTATGTCTAAATGCTCTGGTTGCGGTTGGTCTTGGTATGCGGTGTGAAATGCTGCTTGAACCCTAAATGCGCTGCCCAGTTTTTGTGGCGGTTTCTCCCCAGCAGTGAGCTCTTACCGCAGTAACCACGTTCTTGGGGTTTAACCAGCGTGGGGTGGTCACGTTCTTTGCCAGGGAACTCTGAAGGATGGGCAGGGAGGTGGCCGCGCCTGAGTCCCTGGGCCCTGTCCTGTGAGGCTGCAATGTCATAGGGATCAGCCAGGCAGGGGTGGTGGTCCTGGGGCAGGGATGCTTTTCTGAACCCTCTCTGTGTTATAAGGCTCTGGGTCAAAAGGGAGGAAATGGTGGGGACCAAGATGGCAGTATGGGCATTTTTAAAAGGGAAGAAAGGAGAAAGTGGAGGTGGCCAAGGGCAGAAAGGGTGAGGCTGGGCAGGCCAGCCCACAGACAAGGGCGGGGTGAGACTAGCGCCACCACTGATGGGTGATGGATGGTCTGGTGCCTTGTGGAGGAGGGAGCCCAGGATGGAGAGGGATGCTGCCTGTGCTGGACACTGATTGGTTGGAGCAGCCTGGAAGAGACAAAGCTTGGGGAGACCGTGTTCTGTGAGGTCTGTTTCTGGTGAGGAGAGGTGTGCGTTAGGCGCCATCCCATCAGACCCAATCTCCGCGTGGCCACATCGAAGGAGCCTCGTCTCAGGCCTCATCTATCTCCATCGCTGCAGCATTGGACCCTCTGGACCACCGCTTCTGGAGATTCTCTGCCCTCGGGCTTTCCGTGACCGCTCCCTCCTGGCTCCCCTTTTGACTGAGTGACTGCTCCTATCCACATCACTGGGGATCTTGTCGACTCCAGTAGATACAGTTACCAGCTCTGTGCTCTGGTTTTCCAAAAGCCCAGGACCTACCATTTCACGCTTGTACTCTGTAATCTCGGAGAGCAAATACAAAATGCTGTGACATCCGAGCCCCTCATGACCCGGCCCCTGTCTCCCTTGGCAGGATTCTTACACCCTTCAGTGCAGTGGCCCCGGCCTCTGCGGACGTCGCTCTATGTCTCAGCTCCAGATGTTTCCTCTGGTCCCTTCTCCCTCCTCATTTCCACCTCCTGACCTCCTTGACTTCTTTTCAGCCCCAACTCAAATGCCCTCTTCTATAGGGATCCTGCCCTAACCCCTGTGTAGAGCTTATTTGTGCTCCCACATTAGAATGTAAGCTCCCTGAGGGCAGGGACCGTCTTTTGCCTCTTTGTATCTTTAGTACTTAGCAGAGGGCCTGGTATAATAGGTGCTTAAGAAATGCAGCTAAGTGGGGCAGTGGATAGAGCACCGGCCCAGGATTCAGGAGGACCTGATTTCAAATCTGGCCTCAGACACATAACACTAGCTGTGTGACCCTGGGCAAGTCACTTAACCCCATTGTCTAGCCCCCCCCCAAAAAAAAGAAAAGAAAAAAAGAAATGCTGATTGACTGCATGACACATCCCTAATCCTAACTGCCTGGGCTCTCTTCTTATCATCTCTATGCAGATCCAACCCCAGTCCATGGTCCTGCCTCACCAGTTAGTTATGTGTTGGTCATTTCAGGCTGGAAAGAGCCTTTATTAAGCACCCTCTGTGTGCCAGGCTCTGGGTTAGGTGAGCACTAGGGCTACAGATATGAGGAAGAAAAGACGGCATTCAGTCTCCAAGTGGTTCCCCTCTGAAAGTGGGCAACAGAACATGAAAGGCAGGGGCTGAAGCCACTCCCAGAGGGGAGAAAACGCAGTTGGGGGTGGGGGTGGGGGGGGCAGCTGATTCCCCTCCCCCCGGACCCAGCCCTTCCACACGACTCCCCAGCCGGTCACCTCATCATTGGCCCAGAAGGCCCAGTGTCTTCTTGTCTCCTCTAGAATAGGAGAAGGTTCCGCTCTCTGTCCCACCCCGGCCTGCCTACCCCCCCCAAACTGGTCTGTTGGATTGGAAGCCCTTCACCGGTACAGATTGCCTTGGTCATTGTGTTTCTAATTCCTAGAGCCTGGGCACAGAGATCTATAATCAGTACTTGCTGATTGATTGCTTTGTCCCAGAGGTCTCCTCCAGGAACCATGGGCCAGAATTGGAGAGAGGAGGATTTAGGAAGGGAAGGAAAAGCAGCCTAGCACTCCAGGCAGTGTCTTTGGTGGGAGTGGTCTTCCCATCCCTTCTCTGGCTAGATTCTCACTTGACTCCCAAGACTGGGGTGATTAGATTTCTTCTCTCTTCCCAAGGTTCCCACCAGGGTCCAACCCTACCCCTCTCACCAAGATGAAAGTCCTGCTGTGTGCAGAGGCCAAATGTGATGTCCTCAGAGATCCCCTCTGCCTTGGGCGGCTCTGTCTGTGAAAGGAGGGTATTGCCGTGGGAGGGATTTCCAAGTCCCTGTACTTGGAGTTAAGAAGCCCTGAATTTGAATCCTGCCTCAGAGTAGCTCTAGGACCTTGGGCAGCGAGCCTCAGTTTCCTTATCTTAAAAATGGGGATAATGACGTGACTGTGACTGAGTCACAGGATTGTTGTGAAGGAATGTGTGTGAAGCATGCTAGAACCCTCCCCGAGCTGTACAGATGTTGCTCAGGATGATTTTTGGAAGTTTTGTGATAACCCTCAGGTGGCGTTTACCCCATTCTCTCTGTAGGCACCCTTGTAATCGATCAGGTCAGCTTGGAGTAGCTGTTAGAGGATTAGTTGTGCCTTGGGTTCGAATCCCACTGTAGATGCCTCTGCCAGTGTGACCTTGGGCAAGTCTCTTCACCGCTCTGTGCCTCAGTTTCTTCCTCTGTAAAATAAGGGTGTAGGACGTGGCTGCTGGTGTCCCTTCCGATGGAGGCGGATGCTGGGACGCTCCCTAGAAGTCACCTTGGGGCTGCTCTTCGCTTAGTAGTGACTGCATTTTAATTCTTGATTTTGTAGAGCTGACGCTGAATCCGCCGGAGGGCATCGTGGCAGGTAAGGCCCCCAGCTTCTCCAGCCGTCCAGTCCCCACTGCTCCGCTGCCGTACTTCAAGGCCCAAGTACTAACATGTCCGTCCCTCCTTTTCTTTCAGGCCCAATGAATGAAGAGAACTTTTTTGAGTGGGAAGCCTTGATCATGTGAGTCAGACCGTTTCCATTTTCACATCTTTTTTAGCAGCCGACTATAGAGCCTTGTCGCTGCCGCGCCCTCGGAGAGACTTCGGAGCTTTCAGAATGGCCACTGTGCCGCTGTTGGTGCCGAGGATCTGAGGGCTGCTGGGCTGGGCCACCTGCCAAGTTCCCCTTCTTCATCCTTGCCCCCCTGTTTCCTTCCGGCTCGCCATCTCCTGACTCTTGTGGCCCAGAGGGTGGACAGGCCCCAGGTGTCAGGGGGAGCTGGGGGAGCTGGGCGTCTTTCCTTTGGGTGGGAGGAGATGAAGAGTGGTGAGGGCCCCTTCCTCAGAGGCTCGGTCACCCTTCCAGAGCATGCCTCCATCACCAGGCCTGGCCTTTGGAGCAGCAGGTGCAACAGTGAAGTTTGGGGGAGCTGATTCAACCCGGAAGGAATGGCCTCCAGGTGGGGGTGGGGGGCATCGAGGCAGAGGACAGGATGGGAGAGATGGGGCCAGGTTCGGGCACTATGAAGGGACCTTCTCCATGAAAGAGAGGGTGTGGCTGAGGGCGGCAAGTCAGAAGAGATGGGAGGCTGGCAGAAGAGGGATTGGCCGTGGCGAGGAGAAGGGAAAGGAGGAGAGAGTCGGGGAGTCAGGTCAAAGAGGGGCTTAGGGAGGCGCTGCTGTCCTGGAGCGGGCTTTGGGTTCCCACCCTCCCCCATTCCTTAATCCTGCTCTGGCCCAGCTTCTGACACATCGCCCCGCTGGCAAAGGTCTGTATGGTCACAGCCGTGAGTTTTCCAGTAGCAACCTTTGGCTGTGAGAGGCGGGCTGTAAGGAGAGCTGCGCACCCAGAATTGATGCTGTGGGATGGCGGGGCTGGAGAAGGCTTTAGAGAGCCCCTTGGACGGCAAGGAGGTCAGATCGGTCGATACTTAGAGAAAGACGTGAATTCCGCCTGTTCACCGGAAGGTCAGATACTGAAACTGAAGTTGGCCACACAATGTGAAAACAAGATTCATTGGAAAAGATGCTGGGAAGGATTGATGGCAAAAAGAAAAGGGGACGGCAGAGGATGTGCTGGCTAGACGGCATCATGGGAGCAATGGAGCTGAGCTTGGACAGACTCCGGAAGAGAGCGGAGGACAGACAGGCCTGGCGTGCTGTGGTCCGCGGGGTCACAAAGAGTCGGACACAACTGACCACTACCACCACCAAAATTGGAACTGCCCCATAGCCATCGGGCCCCTCTGGTTGGATCCTAATCTGACGTTGGAGACTGGGGTTCTGTGGAGTCTGAGTTTTTTTAGGGAACATCATTATCCATAGCTATTTAACTGATTTGTGAAGCCCTGAGAGTGAGTGTGTGTCTGTGTATGTATCTCCTCCTTTCCTTTTCTTTCTTCCTCCCTCCCTCCCTCTCCCCTGTCCCAGGCCCACGTCCCTGTCCCTCTTCTCAGGCATGACACCAACTGCTCCACGGCTCAGTCATCGTCTCCAGAGCTGCAGATCCAGCCTATACGGGCCTTGGAATGTCTCCCACTCAGTGTCTCAGAGACACGTCCCACCCACCAGGTCCCGAACAGAACCCCCCTGCCAGTGACCGGGGTCCCCACCCTCAGCCCCGCCCAGTCAGTCAGATCTTGTTTCTATCTAGGACGTCCTCTTCAGTGTGGGCTGGCCGCCACTCAGGTCCTCATCCACTCTCAGCTAGTTCTTTTGTTCAGAACTTAACCACACATGCACACACACACAGAGACTCACACACACAGACACTCACACACACACACACACACACACGCATACACGACAGAGAGGAGATTGTACATGGAGCTGTTAGTCACCATTTCATACCATGTATGACAGAATCCCCATACAACTTTCCAAACTGCCATCATGGTCACTCGGTGCTACCCTAATCTGTGCATTAAAAAATGTATCAGTTGTGCCTTGGGGGCGTCACTGTTGCTATCTCCCCATCCCCCTGCCCCCAATTTTACAAAGGAGATAAAGAAGGGAAAACTGCCCTTTGCAGTAATAAGCAGAATAGATCACCGGGGTGACTGTGTCCAAGAATCGCTATATCTCCCTGCCCTTTGCCGAGAGCTGGTCCATGTGGCCTCCCAGGCCCTGCGGAAGCTGGGCTGGTCACCACCCTGAGCAGAGTTCTTTGGCTTTTAACATGACTTCTTCTCTTTCCACTCTAGTCCGTCTGCCGCCACACTGGTTTTCTTTTTTCTTCTGATTAAATCATTTTATGTTTCCCAGTTTCACGTAAAGACAGTTTTTAACGATTTAAAATTTTTTTTGAATTCCAAATTTTTTCCCTCCCCTCCCCCCACCCTAGGACAGTGAGTGGTTGGCTATAACATATTTCTGCATTAGTCATGTTGAGAAAGAAGAAACAGGCCCAGAGAAGCACAGAAAGTGAAAAGGAGTTGTCTTCTACCTGCCTTCAGATGCCTGCAGGTGGATGGCGCTGCGCCCGGTGCTCCTCTCTCCGGGCCTTTGCAGTGGCTCTTTCCTCCTCACCGGATTCTTGGCTGTCCCAACTGCTTCGGGTCCCAGCCGAGGGATGCCGTCTGCATGGGGCTTCTTCCTGTTTTCTCTCGGGGTGATGCGCCATCCCCCTCAGATTCCTTGTGTCTGCTTTTTCTTTTCAGAAGGCCCAGTCATCGGCAACATGGCTTAGAGTTACATGATGATTTTCAAGAACAAGTTTTTATTCCTGTCCTCTTGTGTTTTGACACCCTTCTTACCCTCCCCAAGACCCTGGACCTTCGTTCTTTGGACCCTCATTAGAAAAACTCCATAGGGCAGGGATGTTTTGGCCTTTGTCTTTAAAATCCAGCTAGGTCGGCACTTAATAAGTGCTTATTAGTTAATGCGTGCAGGCGTCATGGGTGGAAGAGCTGGTAAAACTGTGTGTAACTGGCTGTTTTGGTCGGTGCATGCCTTTGACAAAGATGACCACCTTCCCTGAGTTCTCAGGATGCCCGAGGGTGTTAAACCTTAGTTCCGCGTGTGGAAGCTTTCCTTTTTCTATTTATGCTTGAAGCGTAATTGCCTTGCAAGCGTGGACAGTTTGAGTTTTGTTTCCTCTTGGTTTTTCTGAATGTTACCCCTGGACATTGGGGTGCCCACAGCCTTGCTGCTCAGTCGTGGCGGAGGGCAGGACAGATGTAGGGCTGTGCCAGGCTCGCTCGCCCACCCTGCTTTGGCACCTCGGCGCTCCCAGGGTCAACTCCCCATTGGCACGGCTGCCTCTCAAGCTGGAGCCACTTGAGGAAGGAAGGAGTCAGACCTCCGAGGTATCCTCCAAGAGCCGTCCCATCAGAGCTCTGGAAGGGCCAGGAGTGCAGATTTTAGGTAAATGGTGCCGTGTTGAACTGAGTTTTCACTCACTTGCCTTGAAAAGTGATTTGCCCTCTTTTGGGCAGAGCACTCTGTTTGAAGACGACTTTGTCAGTGTGGAATTCCCCTTTTTCAGGACCCGCTGAGTTTGTGGGTTTTGGTCCAGTTCCAGGGCTTTCACCAATGAGGAGCCATTTGCAAATGCACTTAAAACAACTATTATGGCATTAACCGTCCTTGCCTTGGTTTTGTTTGGCAGACAGACACCTGGCTGCTTCTTGTCCCCCCTTGTCTTCTCGTCTGTCCTCTCCTTGCTGCCTGCCCTTCCTTGCTCTCTCGTGCTCTGAGGAGTTCAGGATTTTCTGTAGTACTTTTCCTAACACAGAGCAAATGTCAGGGAGTGTCTGGATTATATCACGGCCAGCAGCAGAGCAGCCTGATTATGCTGGGGGCTCAGGGGCAAGGCCCCTTTTTAGATCGTTCTTAGTCGGGGTTTTCCCCTGTTTAACGGATAATGACTGAACTCCTGTTTGGGGACCTTACAGCTCAGCTGAAGATCTAAGACAGAAGCTCACAGAACACTAAATTACTGGGGAAAAGCTCAATGGCGGTAATGCCGCGGTGTCAGCCAGGAGAATTGGACCAGCTCCCAAAGGGACTGGAACCTTTGAAGGTTGTTTGTCAATGGTGGAATACGTTGGTGTTCTGAGGGGCAGACTGGACACAGGAGGGACGATCTGGAGCCTGCTCTTAGGACCTGGACGAGGGGAGCGGCCGTGGCAGTGGACAGGAGGGTCGGATGGGCAGGATTGATCCATCTATTGGGGGGTGGCCGCCTCGCCAAGATTGGCTTCTTCGCCAGGTGTTTCTGGGGGATGATGGAAGATTCTAAGCATTGCTGTCTAACAGAATGAGCAGCAGCAAAGGAGAAGATGAGCCTTTAGAAGTCTTGATCGGGGGCAGCTAGGTGGCACAGTGGATAGAGCACCAGCCCTGAAGTCAGGAGGACCTGAGTTGAAATCCATCCTCAGACCAAACACTTGACACTTAGTAGCTGTGTGACCCTAGGCAAGTCACTTAACCCCAGTTGCCTATAAAAAAAGAAAGAAGTCTTGATCAGAGCCAGCCTAGCAAGATAAGTCCAAGCCCTTTTGTGGATAAAGTTCCAGAGAAGAGGGGAAGGGAAGAGATCCTGGGGGATGGGGGAACACCAGCCCCACTGCTCCATGGTCATCCCTCCATCCTTCATATGCTCCTTGGAGAGGGCGCCGGCAGCAGGCGCATCTGCTTCAGTCCCATCAGAAGATCTTTGGAGAGCACCCAGCATCTGAGGCAGGCTAGGGGGTGCCTTGCCTGCGGGCTTGGGTCATACCTGCAAAGCTTAGAGCCCTTTGGGGACCAGTCACTGTAGAGACACACAGGACGGCGAAACCCAGACTAGGGTCAGATGAGGCAGACATTGATTCTTAATACTTTGGAGGAATTTTTTTCTGTTTTACATGAGGGTTAAATCTTTTAAGTAATAAAGTTCCCTTGTGCATTCTGTAGGATGCCAAGATTGCTGCTTTCTACATCACCTTTTCAGAATCCTTCGCATCTGCTAGCCCAGGTCATAGAGACCCTTTCCCCGATGCTCTGACCTCTGCCTTGGTTTGTGGCCCCAGCTGGTCT